AGAGAGAGAGATAGGAGAGAGAGAGAGAGAGAGAGAGAGAGAGAGAGAGGAGAGAGGAGAGAGAGACTCACACCTCTGTGCGTCTGCCCGTTTCGTTTTAGGGACAACATTCTCGACCAAATTGAGACCCATTCTATTCAGACCAAATGCAAGATATGTGTAGGAGTGGCTTTGAAACGTCGTTACATAAACGTTTAGTCATTGATGTTATAAAATGAGGAAAGCAATGTTTTGCTTAAAGAAAGAAAGAAAAAACTAAAAATCAGATTTAGTTTAAAAAAAGAAAACGAAACAGAAACAAGGGCTTTTTCACTTCTTGAACCATCAGTGCCGCTTTAGTGACAGCCCTGGCTCGAAAGTTTGTTGGTTATTTACCAACTCATCAGTTATTCGCACTCACTGGTCATTAGCGGTGAGACCCAGTCCCCGCCCGGCGCATACCCTGACCTCTCGGGCTTGTCACGTCACATGATGTGACGTCACAGCGCCCCGGGGCTATGACCCATCCACCGGCCGCGGACGTCAACCATGTATGCATGGTGAATTGTTACAACACAGGTTATAATTAAGTGATATGATTTCTGCCCGACTGAAGGACACTGCATTTTTATATCGTCGGAGGCATGGATCCTTAGAAATGTTAATTTCCGATAAAGATTGAAAAGTGTCTAAAACTAGACGAGGCGCATGTAAAATACCGTTTCATTTAATCATGACTACACTATTTTCATTTAATCGTAGATGATAGGGCTGCGCAGTGCTCACTACACACTTTCATCGTTTTGCTGTTGGCAAAGGGACGACCTGACCTCTATGGCCGTATCGATCTCGAGTGGGTGCCGTCCGCGTCTGCTGTGGGGTCGTAACTCAGAGTGACGCGATCTGTGATCTGACCTTTTCGGACTCGAGAGAAGACATTTTGAAAAATTATTCAGGTGAAATATTGAAACGCTACAGCTTATTTCACCCAAGATGCTCAAGTTTAATCATTTTAAGAGGATTTCGATAGCTTGTAATAAAATCATCTTGCTTATATTAGCTGAATCACATGCTGATAAATAAATAAAATCACTATTTTCCATCCTAATCTGCCTAAATCGTTTACCATTACATGCCATTACTAGCCACCTTGGGACGAACTAAAGCAGACCTTCACTAAAGCATAACGACGCTACGTTAGCGCCATATGTCCATCGCGGTCTCAAAACCACCTAACGCAAACATTTCCGACATAATTTACACGAAACCACTAAAACAGTGACCAGCGAAATGCGCCGCTTTACAAAGTGACTTCGTTAACTGGCCCGCTGTTGTCTGATGCTGACAACTCTGGCTGCTGTCAGAGTCCAGACTAAATTACTGCAAACAGAGCTATGGCGTCGGCTGGCCGACTGTCATATGACACAAATACGTCATATGACGTAAATAATGGCGTAGTATCTGTCAACGCCAGGACAGCGTCTCCCAAGGTGTGAAGTGTGGCGCGGAGGAGCTGGAGCATTTCGTAATGTAGAGGGTGTAGCTTTGCTAGCAATACATTGCTAAGCTTTGCTGTAGATATACCGTCCGTGCGTATTTAATGCGAAAACGACGTCTCTAATTCACTATCAGAAAATAGACCCTCCCCGTTCCCCATAAACTTATGAGGCGTTTTATGCACTGGAGCATTTGTATACCTAAAGAGGCCACATTTCCACAGTGACAGCTGAGACAAACGCCCTTCTGGTCAGCACAGACTGGTTCAAGACTGATGACTGTTGTGACACGTCTCTCTCTCTCTCTCTCTCTCTCTCTCTCTCTCTCTCTCTCTCTCTCTCTCTCTCTCTCTCTCTCTCTCTCTCTCTCTCTCTCTCTCTCTCTCTCTCTCTCCACCCATAAAAGTGCTGACAGGAGCCGTTTGACAGCTGTTTCTGAGACTCGGACAAATATTCTGATAAAACGGCAGTCATGGCGGCGACAGTTGCTGTCAAAGACATGACAGAAAATGGAAAATGGAAATATGACAGCTCTGGTGAATGAGATAATCAGATTATTTAGCTCGAAAAAAATTTGAGGCATATACAATAAAGTCCAGCCAGATCATATGTAGGTAAAATGTGAATAAAAGAATGGAGAGGGAAAATGAATAAAAAACTATGACCAGATGGTTTCCTCATTTGTCGGCTGGTGTTGTGTCGCTGTCTATCGCAACTGGTGAACCAAATTCCTCGTATAATCAAAATCAATTTAAACACATTTTGCAGCCTCAATGTCTAGCTACAGTCACTGATAAATATTGTCAATGAAAGCAAATTAGATCAACTGACAACTGACGAATGCCGATTTTCTCCATCATCCTGAGCCATGAATAATAAGACTTCCGCATTTATCAGCAGATCAATGGCATAGCTTCATGGACATACAAAGGTAAATGGTTTCGGTCTGATATCCTGCACACAAAATACATCAAAGCTTATCATCTCTCAGTTCTCTTTTACCTTTACGTCACTCTTCTATTTCCATTGTCTCTAAACACCCAACAAAAACAAACACCGGCCCAACACCAGAATTGACACATCCACAGGTGCAACACCCTCCCTTCCCTCCTCCCCCTTTCTCCCAACACCTGCATGTTTCCTGCAGCGCTACCGGACCTCAGGGGGCCCAGACATGTCTATGAGGACAGGCATCTGGCGCTGCAGCATCTTGTGGCAGCACGGTCAGGAGCTGGCACGCTGCGAACTAGTTTGGCACTGAGCCAGGGGACACATCTTCCCGGCCTCCAATATGCGGGCACTGCCAGAGAGCAGTGTATCACGTGGGACGGAGGATAAGAGAGATAGTGTGTGACAATGAGCCTGTCTGGTGGATGAAGCAAACGAGCAATGAGTTTGCATCAGACGAAGTATGCGCTAAGCGATTTTTTTTTGTCATAAGATGTTCAATTTTATTTTCTGTTACCGTTTAAAGTGAAGCGCGCTTATCGCTATTGTTAAATAAATTGTGTGCCGCTGTTTGGGCTTCTGTGTTCATCTAAGGTAAAGTAGGTGTATAAGACGTCCAAGAGTATTGTGAAGTGAAAGCAATAAACGATTTGGAGCGCTTGCTACAAACGTGCAAAAAGACAGATGACAAGTTGCAAATGAAGTGAATCAGAGGCCGGAAAAGGGTTTAGACAGCACAGTGATGGTAACATTTCTTTTACCATAAACAAAGCATAGGTATTAAATACCACTAATTATCATATGCGTAATGATATTCCCCAGAGATGGCTTCTTGACTCCCTAAAAATACCTCCAAAACACACTTGGTAAGCTAATGTCAAAGAATGGGCACAATCAAATCCATAATTTGCCTGCTTTAGCACCTCCCTTATTAAAATTATCTACGAAGTGTGTTTGTTTTATACGCCAACATAATTCGCGCACTTCTAGAGCAAAAGCCATCGCACCTCATCATTAGGCTACTAACAACATCGTCTTGCCAACAGTTTACCGAAAGCCCACTCATTTGACCCATGCCTTTGGTGAATGGGAGCTTGTTCTGGCATCGCTCAATACACAAACCGGACGATATCATCACACTTCGCTCCCGGCAGGGGCCAATGTGCAGCTCGAATAACTCGTAAATGAGCGCTAAGTGATGTGTTCATTAGCAGCTTTTGCCTCCGATAAATGTTAGTTGTCGCTCTCACAGGCACCAGCCTCGTTAGAAGACTTCTTGATACAAAATTGTAAACTGAATCAGGCCCTTACTTCCCAAATAAGAAATATTATGTTATGAAGAAGCAGTAGAGGTAATTATTCTGATGAACTTAAACAAGTCGTACTACTTTTGAACATTTTGCTTTTCATTTCATTCCTTTTTCTACTACCTACTTCACATCTCGTTTATTGCTCTCTCGCTCTCGCTCTCTCTCTCTCTCTCCCTCTCTCTCTCTCTCTCTCTCTCTCTCTCTCTCTCTCTCTCTCTCTGTCCCTCTTTTTCCATCATACCCCCCACCCCGCGTCTTCTCCCTCTGTCCTCCCCGCTCAATGCTCCACTCACCTCTCCCATATTGAGAAAGTAGAGAATGTACAGCGGGATCCCGACCAGGGCGTAGCACATGGTGGCGATCTTCCCCCACTCGCTCCTGGGTACGATGTTTCCGAACCCGATCATGGTGAAGACCGAGAGACAGAACATGAGGGCAGCGGGGAACGTCCACCGCTCCTCAGAGTCCTGGGCGTCGTAGCCGACTTTGATGGCCTCCACCACGCCGTCCTATGGGAGGGGGAGGGGGAGGGGGAGGAGGTCAGTTGAGTGCTTTGGTCGGGAGAGTGAGGTGGTGAGGTGGATGGCACCCATGTAATGTCAGCGGTTTGATTAGAAGTTGTTTTTATGTCCAAATAAGTCCGTCTGTTTCCTCCATTACCACTTATCGTTGCCATGGTAAGGGTAAGAGACGCTGACTTCCCGAAATATTCCCCTGCTCTCTTTCCCCTTTCTGTCCCTCTTTCTCTCCCATACATCCATTTCTATTTATCTCCTCTTTATGTCTCTGTCCCTACTTTTTCACTTTTCTTTATTTCTATCTGCCTCTTTCTCTGCCTATATATCCCTCCCTCTCCCTCTCTATTCTACCTCTCTCCTCTCCCTCCTTCTTCCTCTCCTACTCCCTTGCTCACCTGATACTGTTTAAGAATGATCAGCATCTCATTGTCCCAGCGTGTCCTGTTGAACTGAATGTTGCGCGTGACGTTCCACAGCTGCCGCGCCACCACTTGTCTCCGTGACGTCACGTTGCTGTCCAGGCTCTCCAGAGCGTCCTTCTCGATGGACATGAAGGCAACGGCGCCGAGGATGGCGTAACCGATTACCAGGGCGCCGACACCGACCTGGGGTCAGAGGTCAGAGGTTAGGTGGAGACATGAGCGAGGTCACGTTTATTCCACGCCGTAAAACCATAAATAGATCAAGTTATCGGTTTATCAAGGATCAGGCCCTTGTCTATACGCTGAATGTTCATTTGTTCTGCATACAATGACACATCCCATGCGCTTCAGCAACGGCTTGATGTCCACACATCCAATGAACTTAACTCCCATGGACAAAGTAGGTACCACAGTCAGTCCTCGCTAGCAAGGAATGGAACAAACACTCAGGATCGCTAAGTTACATCCCCCTTCTCACCTCCCTCCCTAATCTCACCTGTGTGAACATGAACGAGGTGACGGTCCTGCAGCAGCGTTTGCAGCGCTCCTCGGGGTCCACTGATGAGGAGGAGGACGAGTTGTAGTGACTTGAGGACCGCGCAGAGCCGCGGTATGAGCCCCGCGTGGTCCTCACAGAAGGGCGTCCTCGCTCGAGTGCCATGGTGAGGGTGGGGAGATCACTGAAAGATTGTCTTTGTGAGGGATAGGAGGATTATGAGCGTGAGGTGGAGGGAAGAAAGACTCGCGGAGCTCACTTTTACCGCGGAAGCTCCACGGCTTCTTTTCGTGCTGGCACAGTTGACAGTTTTTCACAAAGTTGTTGCGATCACCGTTTGTTGGTCGCCTCACAAGTCTGTTTATTCACCGGTACACGATCATCCAGACAATAGGAACCGTTTCATAGCACACTGGACTGTCTTGACTGCATCGTCACCACGAGCAGAAACAGTCCGAAATAATGTCTAATAGTTCAAGTAGTTTCCAGAACAACTCGCTTTTTATTTCACCGTCTTGCTCTCTTTTTACCGACTTTTCTAACGACATCTATCCACGTGGCCACTAAACACCCATCACCTCACCCACGCTGAGGTTCGATGATTCGCTCCTCTCAAACACCAGTTCCAACAATTCACCAACACTCTCACAACCGATACAAACCAGCGGGGTCTGTGGCACTGCTGTTCCCCACTGGCGCCCCGGGTGGCGAACTGAAGCTCGGCTGATCCACTGGCCCACATTGGAGCAGGTGCCGGCCGAGGGGCTATTTTTGGAGCCGCGTGCGCGCGCAGAGTGCACCTTGTCACAGGGCTCCCCCCGCCCGCCCCACTCCTCCCCGCCGGGGCAGCAGCTCCCCCGCCGCCGCCCCCGGCGCGGGAGCAGTCTGTAGTCCTTTTATACAGGGATAAGTGTAGATTTGCCTGGATGAATTGATAGGCGATCAATTATTTCCCCACTGAAGATGGTGGCTAAAAATGACACTACTCGTATGTAGTCTTGAACTGATTTTGGACTGTGAAGTAGTGTTAGGCGTAAAAACGATGGCGCATCAACACATTGCAGAAAGGTACATAATAGGTACTTTATCGGACTTTGAAATAAGGTAGATATATTTTGACAATCAACAAAACATCGGCTTCTCAATCTCGGTCTATCTAGATCTCTGATAATATCTCGGATAATCTAGATCAAAGGACATGTCCTTGTCGTTTCCGTATCATTTGTCACGATGAGTGAGTTCAACTATGAGGTCGCGGGCACTCTGTGCAAATGATCCCTTGTATCAGAGCCGATCAACCAACAGCTTTCAAGAGCATCTCACTCATCGCCGGAGAGGTTAGCCGTTTTCACGACGGGCTATCCGGCGAATGCACCTAATTTGACCAAATCTGCACCTTATCTCTTTTACATCAAATATCTTCATTTTATGAATTTATTTCAGTGTTTTAATCAATGATGCTCTCTGATGATATGACAAAGCAGGCATATAAGAATTAGTGCAACCCTAGCTGATAGCTACCAAGAAAGAGGCACACTGCACCTAATTTGACCAAATCTGCACCTAATCTGCACCAGATGTGCACCAAATGTGTCCCAGATGGCCGCGTGAAAACGGCTGCTATCAACTTTAAATGTCTGTGCCCGGGGACAGATCGGGAGATCCCATGACGTCATTTGGGGGAGATAACTGTAGCTCAGCCTGACTCGCAATCAAGATAGGCGATAGCAGCTTTTCTACATTAGCACCGATGGAGCGCAGGAAAACGCCAGTTTGGTTGGAGGTGCCTGCGCAGAATACTGCGACGCTGCTAGAATTCGTAACGCGGTTGGTGTTGAAATCGTATATTTACCTTTTCTGTTGTTTGATAATCATAAAGGTACTGGTCTGGTAGGTACTCATTTCTTGGATTTAAAAATGCTTTCATACCGTGAAGTTAGGTATGTTGTGCACATCTTTTTGCGCAATATGCTTCTTAACCACTTTTTATAAATGAAGTGCGTGTATAGTCGACTACAGAATGATGTTCCACTTTTCACATGCAATTATTTGCCTGGAGTGGTAGGCTGTGCCGCATCACACGGGCTGAGTTCACAAATTATAGCTTTGTCCCAGTGCTCATAATCGACACGCTTAATTGCGTGATAAACGCACAACTTAGCGCTCCGGTCAACTGATAGCATCTGAGGAGTGGAACATCATTCTTTAGTCGACTATACAGAGCTACCATCTGCAAGGGCAGCCGCTAAAAGTGTGTAAATAGGCTATAGATGTTGAAATACACATTTTCGAGGGTGTCATTCTGCATTATAGGTAGCATAATTTGACCTTTGTTGTGTGTTTAACGTCTCAACCCTATTCCGAGTGGAGAGGGGGGGGGGGGAGAGGAGGGCGAGAGGCAGACCTATTAAGTTGTTCTTGAGTCATTGCCAAACACTGCAAGTTTTTCCGTTCAGTTCGGTGTCTTTTCCTAAATATTCATTGTGCGCATTCTGGCGAAAGAGTTTTCGGGAGTGGTCGCGAAAAAGTTGTCGTCAGAGGTCAGGTCAGTTCACTAGAGTGGTTTTGTTGCCCCACCTCAAAATACTTTGCAATCACGCCACAGCTAGAGTTTTCAAGAGCAATTTCTTCTTCTCAGATTTTCATTAAGATTCTTCAGAAGTCGACATCATGATATATCCCATACAGCTCGTCAACTCAGAAGCTGGCTAAGTTCAGCTTTGTATTTCCTCGCCGAACTGAGATACATCAACGTCTTATTCTTCATAGTGAACATCTGTGTTCTCGCCCGCAAACGTGAGTCAACGCAGTTGCCTTGGTAACTCGTTCGTATTATCGATAGACTTTACTGATAGAATTGCCTCAGTTCACCTGGCGTTGAGTTCAATTCTGGCTCGGGCCCGAGTCCGTATTGTGAGGAAATACGAATTTTTACCATTTTATATTCATCGTTATTTATGCATTTGGCTTTGAAATTAATTCGATGAACATTTCTGGCAGGCTCATGTAGTGCAGACGCAACAATATCTATAGGCGTAGGTCGTTGGACAATCTGTACTTATATGTTGTTGACAGCCAACCTCACTTTTTTGCAGTTCATCAGTGCTGGTTTTCACCAAATTCTGATCGTCCAAGGACCGAGCGTGATGACATCACGTGCTTCCTTTCAAAACTGCTGGACCAATGCCGTCCGATGCTTCGCCATCACTTGGAGTCACTCTCTCCAAGCTTTGCTGTCAATCTGGATGGAATCATCTGCAAAAATGTGGTTGTCAGCGGGCTTTCTGAGTGTCAGATTAACCATGTCCTCGTATCACAGCCACACACCAAGCTTGACCGATATGTCGGTACAAATGTCGCCTTATCCATCTCATGGCCCCGTATCACGTGCAAGTGCAAAGTGCGAATGGAGGGCACGAGTTGGTACTTTCCGCAGTTTGTTGCCGACATTATTTCAGCTACGGTTAATGTGTCCATGGAGCATGTGAACTGTGAGATTGACGTTCCGCTGTACGGTACTCTCTGGGAGAAAGGAAGCAGTTCGTTTTATGTAGGAGGCAAGGAGTTGAACGTTACGATTAACCGGCCATTTATTAGTGTTTCGACATGTTTTGACGGCGCCGTGGGTGCCATAAACATAGGCAACTGGGCTGGCAAGTATGCCGAATCCTGTGTTAGAAGTAGCTGGGACAGATCATCTAAGAAAATCGCTGAATTGGTAAAAAATGAGCTGAGCAGGATTCTTTCGGCAGAATTTTCTGTGAACCTGGATCAGCTTTTGCAGACCCCTCTTGCCGTGCTGCTGGGTTCATTCAGACCAAAATGGGGTGAAGGCGCTCCCTATATGTGGTTTCAGAGGCCAGACGAGGTGACCCCTTTCCAGGTCATGTCACACTCAGTCAGGAATGCTTGGCATTCAATGACGCTGTCATTTTGGAATTGGTGTGTTCGGGTTTACATACTATTCATTTTCTGGTTTTATCGGTGGTGAAATACGTCGGTATATATGTACACTGTACAAAGGAAGATAGGTGCAATAGCCGTTTTCACGACGGCCATCTGGTACACATTTGGTGCACATCTGGTACAGATTAGGTGCAGATTTAGTCAAATCTGGTTCTGAGTGTGTCTCTTAGTAGCTATCAGCTAGGGTTGCACTAATTGCTTATATGTCTGCTTTGTCACATTATCAGAGAGCATAATCGAAATAAACTCATAAACACTGAAATAAATTCATAAAATGAAGATATTTGCTGTAAAAGAGATTAGGTGCAGATTTGGTCAAATTAGGTGCACTCGCCGGGTAGCCCGTCATGAAAACGGCTAATTTCACCTACCTATATTTTCTCTGAGTTAACTGGACGTAGCCACTCATCTATCGGAGTCGCCGAAGGCTGTGTGCAATTGACAGTGAAGTGACTTTTGACTCGTACTATAGGTTTAGCTGAGAGTCGGATGCATTACTGACTGAATGTGTCGCTTTATTATCAGTTGCTGCGTTTGTTGGTCGTGTGTGGGGATGAATAAATAAAACACAGTGGATGCTGGAATAAGATTAGGTGTCTGTGGTTGTGAGCACAAATCATATGTATATGTAGAACATGAAATAACCCTCGCCCGTATTGGTGTTTTTTCCAGCCGCGAACGTACAAGGGGGGGGGGGTCCGTTGGACCCCCCCCCCCTTGCCGTTTCGCCCCTGATCGAGCTAGAGCTCCGCGGAAAAAACGAGCGTGTTGCCCGTAACGAGAGGAAGCCGATGATACCCAATTTTAAGGTCCTAGGTCATTGGTTGACCTTGCAGGTCAGGTCAATGACCCCAAAGGCGGGAAAATGGGGACCTGTTAGAACGTCGTAAAGTGTGGCTGCTATGTGGTTTTTCGGGGTGCTGATCACGAATATCATGTTAGTTTTGATCACAGATGATGTCTTCATGTATTTAGGCCAGGTTGGGTCAGGTCAGGTCAGGTCAACCAGTAAGGATATTCGTGGTAGGTGGCAACCGCCTCTGACAGCTTCGTAACATGTTACGAAGGCACCAAAACTACTTCGTAAATGTTCATATGGTTGCTAAATTCGAATTCAGCTCCAAAAACTGGCCTAGAAACATGTAAAATTCGAAAAAGTGAACCGAGGTCATCAAAGGTCAATGACCTGACCTGACCTTCAGGTGACCTTGACACCCACCCTAATGCATGGGGGCAACATCATATCACATGTTTGAACGCTTGAAACCACGAAAAGACTGCAAACGCGCGGCTAATACGAGCAGACATACGCCGAATCGCGATTCCAGCCAAACATGGTCTCGAAAAGTAGGTCACAGGTCAAAGGTCATTTGGGTCAGGGTCATGAAATTTTCAGGGTAGGTGTGAAATTGATTAACGCGAGGGTACTGAAAGTTTCGTCGCGATCGGCCGCTTTTTACGCGAGTTATTCGCGAAAAACCATGGGGGGGGGGGGTCCGTTCGACCCCCCCCCCCCTATACGGGCGAGGGTTAAATATAACTGGTCATAGATGTACTCACCCTAAAATTAAACCAGTAAAACGCCTTTTGGGCGAAGAACGAGCGAGCGAGATAGTGAGCCCTGCACGTGCGGAAAGGCGAGAGGGTACTTTCAACGGGCTTGTGCAAAGCACCCTTCTAACCGGTCGCTAGCGGTGTGCTAAATTTGAACGCAATCGGCCCAGCCGTTCCTGAGATCTGGAAGCGGCATTCTGCACGTGCGCACGTGCAAACGGGGTCCAAACTGACTTTTGCACGGCACCCTACTAACTGATCCCCAACCGTGTACCAAATTTGAGCGCAATCGGCCCAGCCGTTCTCGAGATCTGGGAGCGCCCCCTGCACGTGCGCAGTGCAGTAGCACCCTAACCGCAACACATGGAAATGCATTGCCTGGTGGGTGCCTACCTGTATGCCAAGTTTCAGCGAAATCGCCCCAGTAATTACCGAGTTATTGAAATGGGAACAAATTTGGCACCTCTTATTGTTGTATTTTGCACGTGCACTGGGGGTCACTCACATAGATCAAGAGTATCCGACCTTTGGTAGAAGGGATGCAGCTACCCTACAAAAATTACTGCAAGACAATCGCCCAAGCGGCTGCTGAGATATGAGCCTCTCAAAATCACTACTTTTGCAAAACAGCTTGAACACCCTTGACTTTTCACGTGGCACGTGCGACGACGGTCACTGAGATGTATCAAAAGTAGTCAATTACGGGGTAGAAGGGATGGGGCTACCCAGCAAAAAAAGACCGCAGGCCAATCGGTCCAGCGGTTGCTGAGATATAAGCCTCTCAAAAGCGTTACAGGCCGGGCCGGGCCGGGCCGGGCCGGGCCGGGCCGCTCATACTGAGATTTTTCCGTTATATTGAAAAGACTCACTTCGCTCGCTGCGCTCGCTCGCTCGTAATTATTTGGTACTCTACTTTGACATAACATTGTCATTGAATAGCCGCATTAGGCTGCAGCCAGGTCACATCGATAAGGGTTTGAGAAAAAGCGTGCAGTTGATGCGTTTTCCAGCTCAGATCCACCACAAAGATATGCATAACTGTTTAATGACATTCTGTCAAAGAAAACGTAAATATGTCAACTTCTCAATTTCCAAAAGCTGTAGCTCAGGACCAACCAGTTCTCGATCCCCTCAAGAGATGGCGCTGACGGCGGGTATCGATTCGTGGCGCATGCGTCTGGCTCGATCTCAGAATGTTTGCCAGCTCTGCGCCGACTTCGTCCACCAGCCAAGGTCAGAGGCCGGAGTCGAATTTGGCAGTCGCGCCACGCGGTCCTGGGTGCTCGCGGGAACACGAGGGCCCGGTGGAGCGCCCTAGAGTGCCTGAGAGTGTCTGAGTGCCAGGTGGGTGTCCGGTGAAAGCTCAACACTCAGCAGATGTTGACAAAACAGTAGCAACGCGTCACTTAGAAGCCGTTAGGTGTGCGTTTCATTCTTTCCTTGTGTATAAGACGCGTCTGTGAGCTAAGCATTGCTCACCGTTTCCGAGAAGAGACACGGTGGGAGCGGTTTGGCTCCTTCTGTGTTATTGTAGCTACCTGCAGCGTGCACCCGTGTTCCTCCGGTGAAACCATGAACGCCGACAAGACGCTGGCCCTCTCGCGTGCTCGCGCGGCGCTTCGCTGTATGGCCAGGGAAGACCTCCTGGACCCCGACCCCACCAGTCGAGCCTCCTACCACCAGTGTATGTGTGGAGCAGGAATCACCTCTCACTGCTCGATATCAGTCACCAGTCCGACTATAATCAATCCGACCGAGAAATCGATGTCAATCCCCTTCGACGGCTCTCTGTTCGAGGACGGTCGAAGCGCCTCAGAGAACGATTGGGAGGTGGACGCGGACGGTCACTGGCTACCGCGGGTGAACGTGGAGGGTGGGGCCCTGTGGCTCGGTATTCTGGTGGCTCTGGTGCTGTTCATCTGCCTCTCGTTTCGGTGTTATGGAGGAGAAGAGGAGCCGAGCTCGTGCTCAGGAGGATCGAGACGATCCCGGTCAAACAGGTGAGTAAACAGTGTGTGTCTGGGATTCATGCGTTTATCTTGTGTTCCGATTGCCGTATTGATCGTTGCTGCTGATTGACCGTTGCCGGAGGTGCGTTGTTCGTATTGATTGATCACCCCCGCTGATGTGCATGGATTGGGATGGATAAGACAGTACAAAAGAGGCTAAAGAAAGCTACATTACATGATCTTCTAAATTCTAACAAGTGTTTGCGGATCCTCATTGTCATCAACCTCGAAGAAAACGGCACAAGTGATAAAGCCCGGTAACATTCCTTCGAACAACTTGAAATTGATGGCTCGCACATAGCCCGATCTGCAATTTATCCGAAATTGTGAAATTCGTTCATTGAAACGAAAAGCTTCACCGCAACTTGTTTAAAGGAAAAGGGCCACCTTCGTCAAATATGAAGATATCGTTGTTTTTCATTTTGACATTATTATTTTTCATTTTCTTTTTAAAACTGGTGCCAGAAGTGCACAATTCGCGAAAAAGTATTTCAAACTATTTAACATATTGGTACTATGTTATTGTTGATACTCTCTACGGCACCTACTGTATGATGGCATAGCGATGACGTCACACTCAAGCCAATCAGCGTTCAGAAGACAGACTCGTCGGATTGTGTCAGATAAGCTGATTGGTTAAAGCTGAGCTGGTTGGAGCTGATTGGTAAAAAACCAAAGCCTCGCCGCGGGTGGCTGTATTGTCGGATAAGAACGCATTCCTGGGATAAGGACGCATTCCTGGCGTATTTTCTTTTAAAATTGCTGATAACTACGAATGGAGGCCGAAATCGGCCGTAAGGAGGTTTACAGACAGGTTTTCGGACACGGGCTACAAGATGGCTATCTCAGTTTCAATCCCCATGTTAAAGGTGGCCCTTTTCCTCATAGGCGGCGGAACGGGGGGGGGGCACCGGGGCACCGTGCCCCCCCTTGGATTCTGCAAGGGGGGCACCAATAGCAAGGTGCCCCCCCTTAAATTTGATGTATTAGTACCAGGGGCGGATTCGGGAAAACTCGGGAAATTCGGGAAAGGGGAGGTTCATGAATCGAAGTGGTGCCCCTACCTAGTACCTATGCCCAAAATTAAAACCTCAACGGATTTCGCCCACTTAATTTTGGTGGTGCCCTATTTTCAGTTTTTTTTTTTGCTTTATTTTTGGTTAGTCATGTGATGACTGGTGCCCCTGCTAAGCCGCTGGTGCCCCTGGAAAGACTGTGGTACCTACCTACCCTGCCCCCTGACAAGCCTACGGTGGGCCCTGACATGACTTAGGTGCCCATGGGCCCTGACAGGCCCGTGGTGCCCCTGACAGGCCTGTGGTGTCCTTGCTAGGCATGTGGTGTCCCTGGGCCTTGGCAGGTTTGTGGTGCCCCTGTTAGAACGTAGGTGCCCTTGACAGGTTTGTGGTGCCTCTGACAATCCTAAATTGCCAACGACAGGCTTGTGGTGCCCTTGACAGGCCCATGGTGCCCTTGAGAAGCCGGTGGTTCCCCTGCGAAGCCGATAGTGTCCCTGACAGGCCTCTGGTGCCCCTGGCAGGTCTGTGGTGCCCCTGGAAGACCTGTAGTGCTTTTGCTAGGCCGATGGTGCTCCTGACAGGCCTGTGGTGCCACTGACAGGCCCGTGGTGCCCCTGCTAGGCCTTTGGCACCCCTGGCGGGCCTGTGGTGCCCCTGTCGGCTGTCAGGCCTGTGGTGCTCCTGGCAGGCATGTGGTGACCCCAGGCCCTAAGTCATGACACATGTGACCTCCACCCTGGGATTCGCCACTGATTAGTACTGCGATGGCTTCTTGGGAATTATACATGTAGGATAAATGGAATTTATCAAACGACAATAAGGAAGAGACAAACACATAGGTACTTGAGGATCAGCTTAAAGTTAACCACACATACGGGCAGGGGTGTAATTTTCCTAAAATGATTGTGGGTGCCCAGCTGTAGGGGCGCCCGGCGCCAGGCCGTTTTGGGGCGCGATAGATATTCTTTATGTGGGAGCCTAAATTAACACCGAATTTGATAACATTGCTAGCCGAATGGCGCTTCAAGTGACGTGTCTGACTAAGCAAATACACGCTTAAAAGTGGAAACTGACCGGAAGGACGTAAAAAATATGTAGAGAGGCGCCATCCAGTAGGAGGGGCACCAAATGTGGAGGCGCCAGACGGTTACGACTTACGAGGGCGCCGTGAGACGATGAAAAGGGCGCCATTCTCTTAGGAGGGCGCCGAGTGATTGAAAACGCTATGTGGTCTAGGGGCGCTAAGAGGCCAGAAGGGCGCCGCACAGTCAGTAGTGCTACGTTGGTGGGGACGTGGGGGCGCCAGATGGTTACGAGGGCGCCTTGAGATCATGAAAAGGGCGCCATTCTCGTAAAAGGGTGCCGAGTGATTGAAAACGCTATATGTGGTTCAGGGGCGCTGAGAGGCCAGAAGGGCGCCGAATAGTCGAGGGATGCACGGTGAACAGAGACCTAAGGACGCGAGACGGTCAGGAGGGCGCCGTTAGACCATGAGAATGGCGCGGTGCTGTCAAAAGTGCGCCATTCTCCCAGAAGGGCGCCGAGTGATGATTAAAAACGCTATCCATGCTCGGGGTTACATGAGCAGAGTTAATACGCATTACAAACGGACTACAATGGTGAGCGAATAGGAAAATCCGTTCCTGATACGCATTTACTTGCTCATGTAACCCCGGTACATGAACGCGAGACGGTTAGGAGGACGCCGTTAGAGCATGCGAAGGGCACCGTGCTCTCGAAAGGACGCTTGCAGCCTTGTAAAAGACTTGTGGGTGCTTTTTCATCATTGTGGGGGCATAATTCAGGATTGTGGGTGCATATGCCCCCACAAAGAGATATAAAATTAGGTACACCCCTGCATACGGGGGTGAACTGCAATTTTCGTTTAGTAAAAAAAAAAAAAAAAATCATCGTGTCAGGGCTGTGACGAAAAATAAGTGGCCTAAATCCGATGAGAAAACAGGATTTGGGGGTACCCTAGGTTTGGCTCCTTGAGCCATGGTGCCCCCCCTTGTCTCAAATCGTTCCGCCGCCTATGCTTTTCCTTTAAGATAAAAACATCCATCTCTCTTTGCCCCTACATATGGACGAAAAACGTCCACATTTCCGTCTTTTTTTCTTCTTTTTTTTTTGTTGCAAGGCAGCGCCGCCTCACAGCGCAAATAAAGTCGTTTATAGCGAGTGAATCAATATTTATAAGAACGCTGACTGTGAGTCAGTTGGCCTGTGTCCCGCTGAATGGGCATATTAAGTGTTGGACTGATTCTGACGTCTGCTCAGAAACCTTAGATCTTTCGGAAATCCCCGTTAGCCGAGTCAAAGGTCAGAACCAGTCAGAATTATCAAACGCCTCGCTCTACAAGTTATTCAATGAAAGTGTAAAAGAACGTCATGCATAACTTTTGAAGTTTTTTGGATGATCACTTATGTTTGGTATTCACATTTGAAACAAATGAACGTACACATTGCAATGTACAAATGTGCAATGTGTATTTATTCGTAAGCGGTAAGTCAATTTAAACCACATATCGGTATGTAGGTAGAGGTACCTACATCTGCTCTAACCCTGCTGTTTACCTATCTCTTTCTTCAATGCAACTTTGAACTTACCCTGGATGGTCTTTCAATGCATGTGACTCATGACTCATACTGCGGAGCTTGGCTGTTTTTGTTATCTATAGATGGACTGAACGACGTTCAAAACTTAAATGGCGTTGGAATACTCAAACATGATTAAATTAATGTCGTTTGCATGAACGATGAAGTTGATTCTGCTTTTGCCATGCTTGCTACGACCGTTACCTAATTGCTACCATGTTCTGGCAGCCATGAGCCAACGCAGAATGCTGGAAGGCAGTGAAGATGAACTGCAATATTTACCATGATAAACTCACAAGCTCTCAGGTTTCATGTTTGTCCTACCCTACATACTCGTACATCTGCAACTTGCATGATATTCATTGCATGCGTCTTGCAAGCTGCAAGAACTACACATTCCGCCACCACCCAGCAGATGGCAGTGCAGTCGCGTATCGATCCACGGCTGCTGTGGGTCGCCTCAGTCCCGTCTCAGCGCCCCGAGGGCGGATCAACAAACGCTCTCCGCCTCCCAAGGTCCCTTGCAGCAGTCGTGCAGTCAGACCTCGCCGCGTCAGAGCGTCAGTGATCGCGCGGGCGTGGCCGAGTGAGATCACGGGACGGACCCGTGTGGGTAGCAACGTGCTTGCCGAGCTCGTGATTGTCGCAAGACACCTGTGTTGGTGTGTGTGTAAAATCTCGGCGTGGATTCAGACGAGTGGTGTGATTGACACAAACCACGGATCCTCTAAGAGGAGGTGCGATGGCGGACACCAAGTACCGTTTCGCCATCGCCGGCATGCGCTGCCTCAGCGAGGAAGAGCATGCCGACCGGGTGAACCAAGACTCCTACTTCCAGTGCATGTGTGACTCGGGAATCACCTCTTACTGCTCGAGAGTCACTGGTTGGAGCACTACCCCACCGCAGGAGCCAGACTCCAACCGGACAGCAAACGAAACCTCTCCGTGGGACGATCTTAACGATCTTTTCGAGGAGATCCACAAAGACTCTCACCAACCGGAGTTGACTTATGATGTTCCCGATAAATCTCGGACACATCTGGACATTGGCGTGTTTCTACTTCTACTTCTGCTGGTGCTTATCTGTGTTGTGTATGCGATTTATCATTGCACGTGCGGGGCCAGAAGGACAGAGGGGGGAGAGCCACCACAGAGGGAGAGCACGCGGAGGAGGAGGCGCAGCTCTGCCAGGTGAGAGCAGCGAGCAGTGAACAGTGAATGAAGTGAACAGTGAGCAGTGGGCTTTCATATTAGCCTGTCCTTTTCCTGGCATATTTTATTGCAGTGAGGTATGAAACCATTACGTACATCATGGTCTGGATGCTACACAACCAATCGAAGGAAGTTCGTCCCAAGGGTCTTCAGCAGCGTTCGGGAGTGGAGCGTGGTGGGGGGAGGGGGGGCCTCAGCCCACTCAGGTGAGACTAATGGGCGTCATCAGAGGTCAGGTTCAAGGTATGGTCGGTCTGGTTACATGAAACAAACAATCGAACGGGCTGGCGTGCCATTGGGTCAGCAACACGAAGACAATGAGGTGTAGTATGGTACACTCGTACCTGAAGTCTACAGATCGGGTGTTTAACCCTCCTTGACCGAGGGGGCAAGGCTTGGTGCCACCCTACTCGTAACAGAGTTTCCTCAATCGCTCGGGAAACACTAGAGATTATAGAAGTTAGAAATGACTAAATAATTCAAGTTAGATCTGGTTACATCTACCGCTTTTTCAGGTCAGGTCAGGTCGCTGACCTAAGACGTGATATGTGCACCTCACCACGGTCCTAAAATGCGGCTAATTTGCAACAACTTCAGTGACAAAAATCTTATGAAGGGGTGTTAAATGTAAGCAACGAAGTAACCTCTCAAGAAGGCACTCACAACTAGCATGGGGTTTTCATGAATTTCACCTGAGGTCAGGTCGGTTAGGTACCTACATCAAGATCTCAATTTTCGACATTTTAAGTCAATGGGGTATTATGGAAGGTGTTACTTTGGCTCCATATATTATTTTTTACATACTCAAGTATATGGAATAATGGAAATGTGACATGTCATTTAGCATCAGGGACGTACCTGGGGGGGGGGGGGGGGGCGGAAGGAGCGCTCCCCCTTTGGGGTTTTCAGGGCCCCCGAATGGAATCCGGGTCCCCGCGGGCTGAGAGCCCAAGTTGGCAAAAATCACGTCGGAGGCGAAAGAAATTTACGGGAATCCCAAAAAACCCGTCAGGCCAATCAGGGCCCTCTCACCGGCTTGACAGCTAGGGTCCTTCTTACTACCTGGGGCCGCCAGCTGTGAATAACCGCTAGTGTCTATGTCTGACCTCTAGGGCCCTCTGACTCCTCAGTAGAGAGGAGGCCCTCTGTAGGTAGAAGGCCCTCTGTAGAGAGGAGGGCCAAATCCTAAGTGCATGCCTATTTAGTATACCTAGCCCTTGCGAGGTCCGATGCTGCACTTTTGCATTGCTAATCTTCGTGTTGTCGCCTATGACGTCAGTTAGGTCATCGGTGCTTTTTTTCCATAATTCCAGATCAGTTTGAACTATGTAGAGGACTTTGATCCTTACCTAGATTCAGAAAAGGCCTGCGGAATCGAATGCCTCCTATGCAACATCACTTCTTTCTTCCACCGGCCTGATCTGAGTGGCCTTGACCTGACCTTAACCCGAAGTAAACGCTCTTAGTTGATATTTCCCAAACCCTAAAATCGAGACGTCTTTGCTGCGATATACCTAATTAGCTAGTTTTTTTTTTCTATCAATAAAAGGCAGGGTAGAGTGACAGAGACAGTGGCTATGGGATACAAGTGTCTCATTCTAGCATCTCACGCTGCCATTTAAACGGCCACCCCGGAGAGGCTGGGGTTGACCTCAAATGATAATCACCTTAGAGACGGCATTGAGTTTTGACCTCAACTATCACCACGCACTGGTTGTCTGTTTGGGTACCCTTCATTCCAGAAAAGTGTGAAAGTGTGAACTGGGCATTGGCTAGTCTTGAGGATGGCAAGAATGGATGACCGGCTGATGCCACAACGGCTGATTCCATCCGATTATGACGGGAGGGACCCGGGGGACAGCCCACCAAGCCACTCGAACGGTCACTCGGGAGGCCTGAGGGAGCTACTGCATTCGACCGGTTGCCAGGGAGAGGGCTGACCGTTCTTGCGTCCACAGGGTAGTATGAAAGAATACTAGCTGTTCCAGAGAATATCGAGGACGGATTCTGAGTCCCTAGCAATCTCTGGCGAATTCGAGGAAAGGAGGCAACTGTCGGCTAACTCTGATCTGAGCGCCACTGGTCGACTCTACTCTTAACTACTAGTTCTCTCTCCTGTCGCCAGGTGTCTCTGCGGTCGTGTATCGATTGTTCGCCTGCTAAGCCCGCCGCTACAGTCGGGTTTCGGCTGGCAGCGGCTCGAGTTGGCTGACGTGACTCCGCCCAAGGTCACGCCCCCTGCAGCCGTGAGACCGGCCGAGTGAGACCTGCCAGTATTGCGCCGTGCCGGCCGTGCTAGACGTGCCCGGCGTGCTCGGGGTTCGCTCCTGTGGTGACGATTTGCTGTTAGACTGCGCGGCTCAAGGGGTGGTTTATCCAGTGAGCGCTACTGCTGTGCTGCCGGCCGTCGGTGAGCGTCGGTCTCGACGGGGGCGTTTGTTGTGCTCTGACGTCATCGGCCACGCCCCTCCTGGCTCGAGAATGATGATGAGTGGTTACTTGCACGCCCGAGCCGCCATGCGCTGTATGAATGGGACAGAACCGACGCAACCCGAGCTACTCATACCTAATGTGTTCTTTCGGTGCATGTGTGACCTCGGGATAATCTCCTACTGTTCAAGAATCAGTGTTGAGAGCACCGAGAGCTCATCTTTCGACGAAGAAACTACAGAAACCCAATGGTCTTTCAGCGATTCTTTCCAAGATCCTGTCACGACGATGAAAAACGGCGTGTGGAAAATTGACGAACCCAGCCTGAATTTCAACGCAGATGACGATCTGAAGAGCGCACCAGATGCCAGTCTGGACACCATCGTCACGTGCATTGGTGTATTTTCTATCATTCTCTGCGTGTCGTACATTGTTTTCCGGTGCTTTCGCCAGGGCGTCTGCCCGGATCCCGCTGGTCTCGAGGTGGCCGCTCCAATGCTCAGTGGCTGCAGGAGGTGAGCGGAGAGTTGTGTCCGTCAGGGGGACAGCTGTCGGCGGGGGAGATTTATGGCAATGGGGGAGATTGGTACTCGCTTCATGGACGACCTACAGGTGCTGGTGCAGGTGCAAAGTTTGCCGAGTCCGGTAGTGTCTAGGGAAGTATCGATTTCACGGCACATACCAGTGACAGTCACACAGCTGCCATTTCGATGTAGTCGAATTCCTTTAGAGTGGTAACAATGACAAGGAAGGGCGGTAATAAGATTATTTAGGCAACAAAATACCTGGTCATAGACCTCTGTATACAGAGGTCTATGACCTGGTATACCGGTTTATAATGATGAACGTGTGGACAAAAATGAACGGCTTTTATACTAAGCGCTGCAACGCTTGGCAACCACCAAAACACCATAACGATAATTATCTGACCATTATTAGTATGCTTGCTTCTCTAAATCTCAATGCTACAGCACGGTTCGATCGAGGGATCTGAACTCAAGCGACCTGACAGGAGAATGTTAAACTTTGCAAAACAATTTGTATTTATGAGAACTAAAACTTTATCACATTTAGGTACGACATTGCTCCTTGTTCTAAGATGAAAAAGTATCATTGAAAAAGAGCACCGGACACCCACATAATTCCACTAAAACACTCTCGACATGAACTCATCCCCGTGAGCATTTTCTGATCCACAGTCAAATGTAGGTAGCTGTTTATTCTTGCTTGTAAATAAAGCATACCTAATATGTACTGGAACGGCGCCCGCTGCTAATTTAATGCTCCTTTTTCTCAGATTTGCCGTTACCCTGCATTTTTACCGGTCGCTTTCCCGTCTGCAGCAAGCTTCCGATTAACGCTAGCTAACGCGGAAAATGATTCACTTCCGTCAGGTCATGGTGTGCTATTTACAATTTGCAAGTCTACCTTGTTACGGAGCGAGCGAAGCGAGCGAAGTCTTTCCTTAGATTAACGGAAATTTCTGAGTATGAGCGGCCGGCCGGCCGGCCGGCCGGCCGTGCGGACGCTTTTACGAGGCTTATATCTCAGCAACCACTTGACCGATTTACACGCGGTAATTTTTGTAGGGTAGCTTCATTCCTTCTACCAAGTATTGGACTATTCCCGATGCATATAGGTGACCCCTTATGCACGTGCCACGTGCAAAACGAAGAGGTGTCAGTTTTGTAATTGTTGCAATATCTCGGTAACTACTTGGCCGATTGCGCTGAAAGTTGGCATGTAGGTAGGCTCCCACTAGGCACTGCATATCCATGTGCCAGAGTTGGGGTGCTGCTGCACGTGCGCACGTGCAGGGGTCGTTTCCAGATCTCGAGAACGGCTCGACCGATTGCACTCAAATTTGGTACACAGTTAGGGACCGGTTAGTAGGGTGCCGTGCACAAGTCAGTTGGGACCCATTTTGCACGTGCGCACGTGCAGGGTGCCGCTTCCAGATCTCAAGAACGGCTGGGCCGATTGTGTTCAAATTTGGCACATCGCTAGACACCGATTAGTAGGGTGCCGTGCACAAGTCGGTTGAAGGTACCCCCTCGCAATTTCGCACGTGCAAGGCCCACCCTCTCGCTCGCTCCGTTAGTCGCCCCAAAAGGCGTTATACTGGTATATTGTAGAGGTCTGCACCGGCCGGCTGCAGCCGCGGCTGGCTGCAGCCCCACGGCTGTGGGCCGGGGCGGCTGCAAATATCTCCAAGAACACGGCTACGGCTGTGGCCACGGCTGTGAGATTTCAAGCTCAATCTCAAGTACTCAAATATAAAATTCTAAATCCTTAATCTTACATTCTGATAAACAGTCTAGCCTGCAAAAATCATGCAAAGGATGCCCAGCAACATTGAAAGTGGTGAAGCCTTTGAAAACCTGTAATGGTTTTACTATTTGCTGTAGGGGAGTTTGCACTCTGGTACAGAATACTAATTATAGGTACCAATTGTTCCTTCATCATCAAGAGCTTGACAGTTTCAAAAAATGCAACATGTTGCATTGTCACATCCCTCTCAAACCAATCTCACCTGGTCATTAGGAGAGCACCTTACAGCTATTGAAGACGAGCGTTCAATAATTCTTTCAGGTAATAGAAAAAGAAACCACGCCTAGGTAAAGGCAGGCAAAGGCTTCATAAAATATTATCTAAAATAACTCTTAGATGTATTTCTGGATTTTCGGCAAGTCCAAATACATAATATAAAACTGGCGCTTTATGTTCTAACTGGTGTGTGAGTGACCACTAACAGAAAATGCTGATCAACGAAGCCAATGGAATTAGATTATAAGTGAGCATGAACCTTACTTACGGTTAATTCATATGATGGTGAAAACCATGAACACGTAATTCACATTACGGTGAAAACCCTGAACACAATATTTCTTACGCGAGCTGTTGACTTTACTAATAAAATGACGTCTTTTTCTAAAAAATGTAAAAATGTGATACTTATTCTTTGTTTGAGAGCAAGTTTTTAACTGTATAGCATTATTATTTATTAATTTGGATTTTTATGGCTGTTTATAGTGAGTCAAAGCAATTTATTGCCACTTCTTTGCTATTGACGTCATTTAAACTCAAGTAAAATTTTTGATTGAAAGAGGCAATTGTGGCTCGCACGTCCTTGGGGATTTGAGCGAAGATCATTATTTGGAAAAATAAAAAAGATGAATGTTTTTCTTTCTTGGATGCTCACTAGTGCTTTCATGCCTTGCATATCAAATTAGTTTGAGACTTACTCAGAAGGCTCAGAAGGCTGCTTCAAGCCTGGCATATCACACCCCAGAAAATATGCAAGGTAAGAAAGAAGCAAGAGTTTTGACTAGACAATCACTGTTTGACAGTCCATCAACTTCAGTTTCATTTTCCATACCTAACATTGATAATGAAAAGCATCAGGGTCTGTTGTTCTGTCCCACAACCATGCTTCAGGATTTGGCATTAGATGTCTACACTGTTAGTGCTTCTATTCTGGTTCGTTGTTTATGTTTTCTGTTGATGTAGGTACCTACCTACTCATCTTTCTTAACCCCTTGCAAGGGCTTGTGTAGGCATGCGTTGCGCATCAGGCTTCAGGCCTTTGGCCTAAAGACAGATACACAACCACTTAACCTATGATGCTTCATGAGCTTGATAATCTATAGCCCATTGCAATGTGCTTTTGGCTATATGCTTCAACTAAAAACAACTTATATAATAGGTATACTATTTTTATATACTATTTGGTTGCATTTCATTGAAAGTATCCACGGCCGGCTGACGGCTGGCTGCCCACAGTTTGCCACGGCTGTGGGCGGCTGTGGCTGTGGAGCCACGGCTGCGGGGCGGCTAGGCTGTGGAAAATTGCAGCCGTGCAGAACTCTAGTATATTGAGATACCATCGAATAACTTGCATGCAGACAAGTAATTCGGTCTCACTATTTGCATTGGCTGATGCATCGGACTGGCCTTGCGCCACCCCGCGCATCCTTCGTCTGACTTGCCAATTCAATACTGGTCACAAAATCTGACGCTGCATGCATAATTGCATCCAGTGGGACGCAGAGGAATGCAGCATGAATATTGAGTCATACACCCGGTTTGAAGGCTAGGTGAGGTACCGACGCATATGAATGCTTCACAGACCACTATATATTCACAGACCACGACATAACTATGTATGTATAGTGGCCTATTCCTGCTTACCTAATATTGGGAGACATTCTCATGTTGTATGTAAGTACGCTAGACATCTCCTCCATTGGTTGTATCTACCTACAGCTTCGTATCATTTTCTGCAGTTCCTTGAAGAGATCTGAGATATACCAGCCTGTCCGTAAAAGTCTGCTATAAATCCGGCTTGACTGATCTCAGACATCCGAGGGCTTGGCTTGATCGGATTTAGAGTCAAGTGCCAGACTTCGAAATTTTATTAGGCTTTGTTGAGCTACACAAAAACGTGTTATTCATTTTAAATACCATTTTGCATGCACCTGTCACTAAAAAGTCGCTTAGTTATCATCTGAATCCCAAAACATTTTTGGCGAGTGGCAGGTGGCTGTCGTGCATTACCTCTATGCTGTCACGCTGATGCGCCTCTTTGCACTCCAGCCTAGTGAATCACAAACATAAAAGCACATCTTTTCCTAAAGCGGAAGACCTAACAATCGCTGCTCAGTCTTGAAATGCGGACATTGTATTGAAGTATGGCGATTGCTCTATCTACTGCGCGATTGCTCGTTTTATCCCGAACTTCAGCAATGTCTGAAAAAGTTGTTCTGTGTAGGAACTCTCCTGCCTGCATGTAACTGGAACGCAATGCTACTGCCATTGAGTGCAACGATTGCATAATTATGGTTACGTATGTGTTTGCTTGGAAACTTTGCATAGCTTACTTGGGATGATATATTAAAAAAGCTGCTAACATGTCATTAAGTTGAAACTAGACTGCAATGAATAAAAAAGCCGCTGATATGCAAGGTGTTGCAAAAGTTGTATGTATCCTCTTGCAGTCTGCAGAACCCTTTCACACCTCAATCAATAGAAAGTGACACGGAAAAAATAATTGGCTCCCTGAAATTAGCTCTAATCTCCGAGTAGCATGTCCTGTAATACTGAATAAAAGCATTATTAGTCTTTCTGAAGGTAATTACCCACAGCTGTTAGCACCTCACTGCCCACTTGATAATACGATATGCATGGTGTTGATTGTGAATTGCGTAGAACGTCACCGGCGGGCCATACCGATAAGTTGAAGGCTGGAGGCGGTTCCGTTGACTAATGACTGATGAAATGTTTGGACGATCCAGAGTGGACCTTTGGAATGCAGGGGCGCATCGTACTCGTAAGGAAATATCGTATATCAGAGGCGCAACATAAACCAAATAAAGAATATCTTCTGATAAGAACCACACGACTGATGTAAACGAATGACAATCAAACAGAACTCACTTAATCTGATTTTCGTCACCATGATGATAAACATTGTGTTCACACTATCACTACATCAAACTTGGCGCTTCTGCTAGTGTTTACAAGCGCGCTAGGTTTGAAAAACCAATTATGGGACTTTCTGATAAGAACAAGCGCTATACGCGACTAATGAACATCGATACATGTGTGTGTCCATGCATGCATACGTATATGTGCCACATGCGTTTCTAGTTCGTTGTGCACATACATGAAAACACGCAAAGCTGGTTTTGTTGTAATTAATGCTCACCTCACACACAAATTCATGGCTAATATTCCGTAGATCGGTCGGTGCCCTTTATTTACGTCACCACTTACCCACCCTCAAATAACCCTCTATATTCAGGCCTCACACCGAATATCGCCTTAACCATCACTCACTATCAGTCCTTCCTTGACGACATGTTGTTTATTTGCAGGTCTGGAGGCGCGGCCGCCGCGGCCTCCACTGTCAATGACGTCACCTCTGGAGGGGGCGGAGGAGGGGGTCAGGGGGAGACGGCAGCACCGGTCGACCTGCCGCCCCCCTACGACCTCGTCTATGAAGAAAACATCACACCGCCCACATATGAGGAAGTGATTCGAGAAGAGGCCAAAGACGGCGCTCGAGACCCGGTGTGAAAGGTGCTTTATTGGGTTTTGTGTCACAATGTGGTGCCTGATATTGCGGGGGCTAGACATACTGGTAGTCCGGTGCCTCATGAGCGTATTCCATATGATGCTATACGTTTTGGGTGTGCTTAGAGACTTCTGAAATCTAAAGCTTGAAACAGACTCACTACTTGACAAAGGGCGGCTTTTCGGTCGCGACCGGGATGAGTCTGCCACTCAAGTCTCAGCTTAAAACACGTCAGGCAGATGTGCAACTGGTTGTTGCTGATATCCAGATGTTGGCAGACCATCAGTTCTAGCCTTATTCTGTTTCAGTCTTAAGATGTTAACGACGCTTCGGGGTAGCAGAGTTGTGATCGAATTGTGCGATTATTGTGTCCATTGTGCGATTATTGTGTGCTATGTGTAAAATTTTGAAAACATCAGGATCGACGATGTAAGTTATTCCCATCAAATGTACTTAATGCAACACAAAAGGTCGAATTTGACAGGCAGACTGTGTGCGTTTCCAGCAGCGCACCCGCCGTTCGGGGAGCTGTGATTGGCTTGAGCTTATGTGACGTCACTAGCTTCATATGCGGCTCATTTTTAGAAATGAGACTTGAACAGGGTGGGATTCCTGTGCCATGCTTAGATGTATGTGGCGGAGATTATACGTGCATGCCTAGCAAATGTGCAAATGATCTGACTTAACACCGTCACAAAACTTGTATGTGTGTGTGTGTGTGCGTGCCTGAAGGTTTAGAATGCGTTCTCGCCTGCTTTTCACGAAGTTCCCCATCACTCTCATTGTTTTAGTTTCAAGTTTTTAATCAAGGACCTGTTCCGTATTGCACTTATTACAGCCATTCAGAGATTATAGAACGGTTTTGATGCCAAGCAGTGATAATTTAATGTTTGCCGCCTGCGAGTCTTTCGTAATGTGTTATGGAGGCCCGCAGTTGGGTTACAGGAGTGAAATGCCACGGTCAGCACACTGCGAGTAGGTACAGTTCAGTTCACATTACAGAATCGGCACGATCAGACAGTTTCAAGATAGGGTACCCAGAGAGTGCACCGAATGCAGTTGCATGGTCTAGTGCACAGTGCATCGCTCACGTGCAAGGTATGACACCCCGGTGTGAACATTGCATTCGAGCGATTTTATTTGATACGGAACTTGTAAACTCCGACAATTCTTCTAAAGAAAGGTTTGCTTATGCATGTATGAGCCACTTGAATAATGAAATGACTGAGTTTAGTGTCATTTAGGGGCTGAGCTTAGTTTTTTTATCTAGCTATCTAAGAAGTTGAGTAGCTAGTCTGCGGAATGTAGATAGGTTGAATGCTGACAATGCGCGTTGTATTGCCTGCCGTATAGCTACATTGCAGGGTCTTTCAAGTGCTCTAGCTCTGAGGGGCTGAGTTGTGTGCGAATCTCATCGTGAGCCTACCAAGTAGGCAGTGCGCCTTAGGCACATCTAAAATAGTATATGGTACTGTCTGTTGAGGTTGACTATCCGATATGTTAGGTATTTATAGTTCATGATAACAGGTAATTTATACACTTTGTCAATAATCTCGGGAAGGACATGGATATGCTGCTTCATCCAATACGCTACACTTTTACCGTTGTTTTGAAGTTGTGCCAGATTGGAAGGTTATCTGGATGCTGTTGCTTGTTTCGCATTTGAATGTCGAAAGCTTTTGCCTTTTGTCTCCCGTTGTTCGTATCATGTCTCCCAGAAATATGCTTGTGTCATGAGCTGTTTGATTGGTGGTGCGAATGCACTGCCTACTTCTCAATACAAAGTATTTCTGCTCTGATGGGCTCTTATAAGTGTTCTTTCCTCATTGTCTGGTTTTGGTCGTGGGGACATTCTAATGAAAGCTGTTGAGGGCTTACGATACCTACTAGAAATGCCCAAATGTACATAGTTCAAATACGCAAACGACGACAAGAGCATGATCAAACGGATGGTGCTCGTCACTACTCTTCTTGATTGGTTTTAAGACTCACAATTGTGGCAGCTGTGCGAAGTTTTTATTCGGTGCCCGCATTCTGTATGATCTCATTAGCTACCTACATCGAATGCAACCGGCGGAATATATGACGATGGCCAAATTCTGTCGTTGGCAAGGCAAGATAGTCGTTAAGGCAAAATTCTGACGACAGACGGTGATAGCAACGCTCGATAGGCATATATCATTAAAGAAATAAAAGCAAAGTTATTCTCCATGTTTCAACAAGGCACGATCATCTTTAACCAGATAGTCACATCCGCAAACACCGGAGCTGCTGAAAGACATATGAAAAGTATCACCTGAATACCTACGACGAACGACGCAATCGATTATGTTTCTAATCGCAGAAAAACATCAGCACCAAAAACATCATGAGAAGTGCCATGTATCACAAATCACACCACTGCGTTTCATAATCATTAACCACCCTCCTAGTTCCTGTGTTGCTGAAAAAAACCGGTTTATTATACATGCACGTATCATTTGCAGCATCCCAGCCATTCAAATGAGCTTCAGGGGCTCTCAAACCACACCTGCGTTTCGCCCCTAAAACACCACAGTTACCTGCCCGCTCAGCAGACTGCCGTTCACAAGTTTGAGCTCCTCTCGCCCCAGGGCAGATCCTTCGCGGCGCTGTAGACTTGCGACGCACTTGGCGGTAGCGAGCGGGGCGTGGGATGGGCAGACGGTACCTGACGGGCGGCGAAGTGTACCACAAGGGAGTGTTCTTGCGCCAGTGTGAGTTGACAGTGACCAGAGACATTGGACAATCGGAGGTCGCTCAGTGGAAGCACAGTGCGTACAACGGAGAGGGTACAGTGAGTGGTGAATAATTCATTGTGATTGCACAATAGCTTGCGCCAAATATGACGCAGGAGTCTGACAATTGACATTTAGCTTGAATATCAAAGCGAGTGAGATCTGAGAAGACGCTTGAGTGCTGGTAAAGTGTATTGTTTTATGAGAGCACTGTCGCCAAGGCTCGAGTAGCCACGCTATGGCAGTGGACTCGCCCAGCTCTGAGCATCCTACGAGAGGCACAGAACAGGAGATGCCGAGAGAAAAATGGCGGACCCAGTGCGACTTCATCCTCTGCAGTATCGGCAAGACGGTCGGCCTGGGCAACATCTGGCGCTTCCCCTTCATGAGTCTCCGGTACGGTGGCATCACGTTCCTGTCGGCCTACCTGATCCTGCTGGTGGTGGTCGGCGTGCCGCTTTACGTCCTAGAGATCGTTCTGGGACAGTACAGCAGTGCCGGGCCGCGGTCAGTGTTCTCCAGAATGGCACCCGTCTCCTCCGGCATCGGCACAGCCATGCTGCTCGTGCTGGCCTTCACCGTGTTCACGTACAACCTGCCCGTGGCGTGGATCATCTTCTTCACGGCAGCGTCGTTCAACAGAAGCCCTCCGTGGGGGGAGTGTGGACACGAGTACAACTCACCGAGGTGTGTCTCGTTGGCCAGCAATGTAAGCATCGTGCATGATGTGGAGGAGGTCAACATCAGCATTGGTTCTTCCTCACAGCAGAAACGATACTTGCTAGAAGAGGCGTCAAGTAATGACAGCGACATTGCGTCTGCTGAAGAAGAGCTTCATCTAACACAGTGGCGTAATGTATCCAGCAGTGCAGAGTTTTTCTTCTGCAATGTGCTCGGACTGTGTGACCAGTCTTCGCAAAGTCTGGGCGTATTGCGCTGGGACATCGTACTCTGCATGCTGGCTGCGTGGCTGCTCGTCGCCGCCTGCATCTTCAGGGGCATCACGTCTGTCGGCATGATCCTCCACTTCACCGTCATCTTCCCCTACGTTGTGCTCGTCATTCTCCTCTTCCCGGCGGTTCTGTACGACGGCGCCATGAAGGGCATCCAGTTCTACGGCACGTTCAACGTCTCTCTCCTCTGGAGCTCAAGCCTGTGGTCAGACGCAGCCTCGCAGATTTTCTTCTCCCTTGGCATCAGCCACGGAGATGTTATCAGTTTAGCCAGTTTTAACCGGTTCCGCAACAACTGTATGCGTGACGCAATTCTTTTAGCCGTGGTGGACACTGTAACATCAATTCTAGCCGTGCTAGTGGTCTTCGCAATGCTTGGGGTTACGGCGAACCAGCTGGGACAAGAGATCAACAGCACCCACAAACTCGGACTGGGACTGGCGTTTGTGACTTATCCAGAAGCTCTTCTGCACACGCCTTATCCATCGGTCATCAGCGTCCTTTTCTTCGTCATGCTCATCACCATGGGCCTGGACTCGCAGTTCACCATGGTGGAGATGCTGTCAGTGGCAGTTGTCGATGAGTGGCCAAGACTTCGTCCGCAGAGACACTGGATCTCCATGGGAGTATGTGCCGCCTTCTTCGCTGCCAACCTCTGCATGTGCTTGGATGGTGGCGTGCGTGTGTTTGTACTCTTCGACCACTTCGCCTTCTCGTTCTCGCAGTTTGCCGTGGCGCTGCTGGAAATCCTCGCCGTCGGATGGGCCTTCGGAGCCGAGCGGGTTCTCGATCTGATGAGCTCCGAGATGAAGATCCCGATGTCGCAGTGGGTGAAACTCTACTGGCGGCTGGCGTGGCGGTTCGCTGCGCCAGTGGTCCTGGTGGCAGTCCTGGGAAGCACCGTCGCCTTCCACGGACGTGTCAGCTTTACGGCTGGTGATACGAGGCTGGTGTTTCAGCCTTGGGAGGACGGGATTGGCCTGGTGCTGATGCTGGCGCCGGCAGTGCTGGTGGTGCTGACGGCACTGTGGGTGATGGGGAAACAGTGGCGACGTGGTGGAACTCTGAAGGAGGTTCTGCATCCCACTGCTGACTGGGGACCTGCGCAAGTGGAACGGCACGCGGGAACGTTTGAGGGAGGCAGTGGTGTGGCAAATGGCAATCAATTCGGTAACCTGCGGAACATATATCTCGCGAGGTTAGGACACACCGTTCCTCTGGCTGCCATCAGCAGGAGGACGGGCCTCGCGTCACGCTTTGGACCTGTCCAGTTCAACGCACCAAATGTTCCTGTAAGACATCTTGGTGACAGTCTATGCATGACAGACCTTGGTAACGTGAGATATGCTAGCAGGTCACCTGATGAACTTTGCGTTGACAGGAGCACCAGATCAACAGATGCTAGGCTAGAAAACGGAGTGGATAGCACCAACGGCAGAGACCATGTCATATTTAGTGCAAGGGGCGATGCTATCACAGAAACTAGCCATGTAGACCATCGATCGTCTGAACGAAGCCGGAGTGATTGTCCTTTGGCTGGTGTTGATAACCTGGGGTTCGAGCGCCAGTGATAATTGCAATCGAGATCTGGAGATCAAGAGATCTAAAAATATTTTCCTAGTACCACGAGGATAAGTGTCGGAGATTTAGGAAAATGGGACAGAGCGAACAGTGGAGACTGAATATTTGTGAAAGGAATAACGTCTTATGTGAACACCACATCCTCATTCACTGGAGCGAAGTACAAATGTGATCTACCCGCTACCAATGTATACCTACCTACCTACAGAAGAAATGAAGAATTCTCACATGTGCCAGTCAATACTGTATGTGAATGCCCAAGTACCTACCCTCTTTCTTAGGTAGTGCGACTATTGTATCTCCAGTAGTACCTATGATAAGAAGCTACACAGGTCTTTCATGGTTCTTTGTTTGCAAGTAATGTGTAATTGTATGCTGCATCATTATGTGCATTTGATTTTGGGCGTGACGTATATTTTGACAACTACATATTTTACGCGCATTGTGGCTTACAGTGACATGGGCAATGGGCATGGCAACTAGCTCCCACGTATTAGAGGTGTATTTAGCTTGTAAATGAATGAAAAAATCATAAAATGGGAACCTTTTGTTCTTCCAACAGTCATAGCATTTCCCTTGAAATATCTCAGCAGGAAGGTGCGGGCATTGGGCATGTTCGCCCATCTTTGTACTCAATGATATTTTGTTACTCGTAGAAGACGAATAAACGTCATAATTACATACCAGGATTCTTCGAAGATACATGAATGGCGGGAAAGAGAGTGTTTGCGGGCATCTAAGTGCGATGTTTCTGCGATAAATCCAGGTCCTTTACTTTATCTTTCTTCCTGTTGGTGAGCATCTCCAACAACTTGTCGGATACCTTTCTCCTCCCTCACACCCTCCCAACCAGGACATCTCCGGTATTTCGCGGTGCAGCAGCAAGACGAAGCCTGCCATAACCTGTTGCTGCCTGTATGGTGACTCACCGCATATAGGTACTGGAAAATCCAGCAGGAGCCAGAGGTCGTGACAGACATTTCGGAAACGGTTGGGGGCGATCGAGCTGCTGTTCGAGCCAGCTTACGCGATCGGCATACATCGTTCGGAAACCCCCAATGGTGCAATTGTATGCCTGCATAAGTATCTGATGCACATTGCACATACACTACAGAATCATTGATCAAGTGATCGTACTGGCGAGGCTGCCTAATGAATGTTCCAGTAAGAGCGCCTAGTACCGGCAGCGTTTGATTTTCTGACTCTACTAGTGATTAACCCTCGCCCTGGCAGGGGGGGTCGATGCGACCCCCCCATAAGGTTTTTCGAAGATAGCGTAAAAACGGCGGCGCGCAGCGCCGCCAAATTTGGCACAGCTTATGGGGCAACCTTTTTACATATGACCTGAAAATTTCAGGTCCGGATGGCCTTGGGTCAGGTCACCAGGTCAGAAAAACCGGTACAAGGTCATGGTCAAATTTCAATTTTCTTTTTGCACCTGTCCAACTCACAGTTTTGGACTGATTTCTTTCAAAGTTTCAGGATGTGCTAAGTTCACCGAGTTGTATAACATATAGTTCGTTTTTTTAGGTCACTGACCTGAGGTCAGTTAGAGGTCATTACGTCGTAATGTTAAGCCTATGGGAAAATACTAAATTCGGAAAATACTGGAGATATCCGCTTCGTTCTATCACTTTTGTGCTTTGAACCCACAGTACTTAACAGCAGGTCACTTGGTGTTTCTTTTTTTGGTGTACTTACCTATGGGTCAGGTCAAATGAGGTCAACTGAGGTCAAATGACGTTTTTGCCAATAACTTGGCACATAATGACGCTAGAGCTTAAACAATGGTATCATTGTGTTCCTGGTGATCAGCCGAATCGAATGATATGCGATATGATGCAATTTGGTTAACCTGAACTTAATTTATTTATTTAAGTTTACTTAAAATTTAAGAAAAACTTTAAGTACACTTAAGCAAGCTAAAAAGTATATCATTCGATGCGCCTTGACGTGCTGAGTTCACTGGTGCTTTTCGTTTTGCTCTATCTTAATTAGATAAAAGTTATAAGCGAAAAACTTTTGACCTGTTTTTAGCGAAATTTTCACATTTATACCCCCCAAAACCCCCCTAAATTTTGACCTAGAGCAACCAAATTTGCACAGGGGCGAGAACTCCAGGGGGCCCACCTACCTACCAAATTTGGTGTTTCTAGGTGCCATAGGAGCCAATCGCGAGGGGGGGGGGTCGCATCGACCCCCCCCTGCCAGGCCGTGTTATGAAAAATGCCCTGCCAGGGCGAAGGTTAATATTTGCCAGTCTGGTCTTTGGAGAACCGAGCTAAGTAATCACTGGCGGATCCAGACTTGCGTTTTGGGGGGGGCCAACTCCTGCAAGTAACCAAACCTAGGGTACCCCCAAATCCTGTTTTCTCATCGGATTTAGGCCACTTATTTTTTCGTCACAGCCCTGAAACGATATTTTTTAAACTAAAAATAAAAAATAGAAATGGTAGCCCACCCAACCCGAGCCTAAATATTACTTTGAAAACACTTCAAATTGCTTTTGTCGACCAATTAGCCCGCTCCGGGTCGGTGCGTGGCGCAGCCTTCGCGGGCTGGGAGGTGTCGGTTGGACCCCCTGCCGTTCGGCCCCTGATTAAGCTAGAGCTCGCGGAAAAAAATGGGCGTGTTGCCCGTGAGTGACGAGACGAAGCCGATGATACCCGATTTTAAGGTCCTTGGTCATTGGTTGACCTTCCAGGGCGGTGTTTCACGGTCGTGCTGACAGCCGCTGATAGCGCATTCCGCGAGCTAAGGCCAGCCTTCGGTAGTGTTGTGGGTATAGGCTTGTTGATGTCTCCATTGAAACCAAAAGTGCCATCAGCGCTGGCAGCGGCTGGCAGCGTGCCGTGAAACACCGCCCAGGTCAGGTCACAGACCCAAAAGACGGGAAAATCAGGACCTGTCAGAACCTCCTAAAGTAAGGCTGTAATACGTTTTTTTTTGTGCTGATCACAAATTTCATGTTAGTTTGGATCATAGATAATGTCTTCATGCGTTTAGACCATGTCGGGGCAGGTCAGGTCAGATCAACCAGTAGAAGTACTTATGGGCGTCCGTATAGCAGGTGTCCACTACCACTGGCAGCTACGTAACATGATACGAAGGCATCAAAACTACTTCGTAAATGTTCAAATGGCTGCAAAATGCTAAATTCAAAATCAGCTAAACGAAACTATCCTAGAAACATGTTAAACTCGGAAAAGTGCACCGAGGTCATCAAAGGTCAATGACCTGACTTGACCGTAAGGTGACATTGGCATCCGCCCTAATGCGTGGGAGCAACATCATATCACATGTTTGAGCGTTTTAAACCACGAAAAGACTATAAAAGCGCGGATAATGTGAGCCGACATACGCCGAATCGCTATTCCGGCCAAACATGGCCTCCAACATGGCCAAACAGTCTCGAGAAATAGGCCACAAGTCAAAGTTCACTTGGGTCAGGGTCATGAAATTTTCAGACTTTGTCACCATGAGGGTACTAAAGTTTCGTCGCGATCGGCTTCACGATAACTTCACGATAACCTTACACGATAACTTCACACGTCGATCGAGAGTTAAAGCATGGATGAAGGAGAACCAGGGGATGAAGGTTCTTTCATCCATGGTTAAAGTGTGCAATAAGAACTTCTTGGGTGAAGACAAGACCAACACTTTTATCAAGCTCACAGATTTTTAATGATACGGTATTTTCTCTCTACCTACTACGCCCTTCTCACATCCATTTTTCTTAAGTGTTTTTGGGGACAAAAAATATATGTTGTTCCCCTTTCAGGCTTGGGGGCATGACCTCGTGGCCCCCCTGGATCCGCTAGGCCGAAACTAACTAGGTCGTTTTCAAACGGTCTGATATTTCAGGTCATAGTTTGCAAACGGCCGGTGTTTTCAGGTAGTTTCATATGGCCTGACTGGGCCAGGCCGTTTGCAAACGGACCGAATTTTCATACGGCCTGTAACATATATTCAGATTTCGACATCTGTCGTAGCATCAAATGCTGATGTGGCGCACTCAAAAGCCGGAATTGGTCCTTGGATGCCGTAAGGACCCTTTTAAGAAATAAGTGACCCGACTGACCCTTAGAGATTGGCCTGAGCTGTGACCGAAATAAGTCTTTTACCGTTTCGCAGGAAGGGACAAAAAGGTCCCTCATATGCTTCTTGTACAATTACGAAACAAAACAAGTTTTTTTTTTTCAACGAAAACTCAGTGAGTTTTCCTAAAAAATTTATTGCGCATATTCCGTGAATGAAAAGTTGCCGGGTCATGTCAGGTCAGGCTGCCACAGCAAGTTTGTTAACTTGACAGCTCAATCGATATTTATGCAATAAGACCTTCTCGGGTGACGATAAGACATGACGACACTTTATGAAGGAAGCTAGTAAACCCGGTAGTTTCTCCATAGGCGCGGGAACCGGGGGGAGGGGGCAGTGGTGGCAGCTTGCCCCCCCCCCCCCAACTCTGGGGCCGTGCGGGCGGTGCCCCCACAACTTTCAGACAGGATACCGCTCCTTTTTGCAAATGTTTTCTTTTTTTGTTGAAAAAGCCAAGGGATGAAAAATAAGTGGCCTAAAACCGGCGAGAAAACTATATTTGGGGGATCCTAGGTTGATCTCTATCATGGTGTGACCTCCCCCCCCCCCCCCCCGTCTAAAAGTAGTTCCCGCGCCCCTGGGTTTCTCTACGCTATTGAATCACGCTGCTGATTCTAGTAAGTATCTACTACACAACCTTCTCACATTAATTTTTCTTCGAGCGTTTTGGGGGCCAAAAGATATGTTGGCCCCCTCTTTCAGGCTTTTTGGGCCCATGGCCCCGGTGGCCCCCTTGAATCCGCCAGTGGGGGCGGTGCCCCCACAACTTTCAAACGGAATAGGTACCGTCCTTTTTTGCAACTGTTTCTTTTTTTGTTGAAAAAGCCAAGGGATGAAAAATAAGTGGCCTAAAACCGGTGAGAAAACTAGATTTGGGGGGACCCTAGGTTGATCTCTATTATGGTGTGCTCCCCCAGTCTGAAAGTAGTTCCCGCGCCCCTGACTTTCTCTACGCTATTGAATCACGCTGCTGATTCTAGTAGGTATCTACTACGCAACCTTCTCACATTAATTTTTCTCCAAGCGTTTTGGGGGGGGCCAAAAGATATGTTGGCCCCCCCTTTCAGGCTTTTGGGGGGGGCCATGGCCCCGGTGGCCCCCCCCCTGGATCCGCCAGTGAGTAAAATTAAACAGTTTATACGATGAAAAATGATTAAAAAGACGATAAGACAATTACGATGAAAAATGACTTCGGATATCGAGATTAACATCGAATCGATAAAACCCTACGATCACTTTGAAGCAACTAATCGGGCTTCTGAGTTGTGTGTCTATTCTCATTTATTTAGCGGTTATGGACATAAGGATAAGACACGTAGATAAAACCTTATTGGAAAGCAGAGGCACGTGTTGGAATCTAAAGGAGTAGTACTAAAGCGAGCAAACAGACACAAACTCGATTAAATCCGAAAATAAAGTCCCAATGTGTGGCACCACCCCCACTCACGCTTTATGATAGCATGTTCAAGTGGACAATGCGGATCTATAAAAGCATAGAATGACTGTAAAACTTCGCGCTCCTCGTCATAACTTCTGCCTCACACAACTGAATGTAAAAGCTAATTCCGATTGCCATCACCAT